CTCGAAGCACTTCACAGAATATGCTGTAAAGTGAATTAACTGTATATTTTGTGACGAAACACGGCAGCCAATTGTGCACAGCCTTGTCTCACAAACAGTCGTGGATTGAGTGACCAAATCACTATTATTATTTTCTTTTGAAGGAATTATTACCCCTGGAAGAGCAATCTGCCAAGTAATTGACAACCGGGTTCCTACATACTGCGAGGTAAACAGGAGCACGTTGAGTAAGGAAGCTTGCCCAACGTTTTGCCCTGCCCGGGAATCGAACCCAGCTCCTCTCGTTTGTGAGGCGAGCGCTCTTACAACTGAGCTACAGGACTCCGAAATGGCCTCAAATCAGACCTTGCATGATTTGCAGTCTGCCTAGTGGAAAACGGCCTGTTTACCCTTGAATTGTATGGCAGTGCACACTTATCCTACAGCTTGCAATGTCATCAAAAAGCAAATGGATGATGAACACTGAATTTAATTTTGGGAATCTTTCTTAAAATGGCAGTGTGAAGTGTTGGGTGTCTTGAGCTTGATAATTTGAGCCAAGCCTTTAGGGTCATTGGTGAATCGAATTGGTACGAATAGAATATATTGACTCTTTGACCAGTTAGTGTCACCAGATAGTCACAACTCGTACAGCTACCTCTACTCTGTCCATAACAATGCCTCATGTTCCCAATCTCTGCACTTTTTCTTGCAGGAGCTTTTATTTTTCACATCAATTAACTTGAGACATTTGGGTAAGCGTGTTAGTTCTTCAATGGCATCAATGCTCACCTTTTCTTGTTCAAATCTATGAGAGGATAATGATGGTAACTGAGCTTTGAATAAGGTTCTGATGCAAATTTACAAATATGCTGGAAGTGTAGCCATTTGTTGCGGTTCATCTTGTACACCATAACTGAGGAAACAAAGTTCCTTTCACAGTTTGTACATGAGACCTGTTTGGGTTATAGGTGGGTTATAAGGTCTACTTTAAGCAACATTTCTATCTATAACTCAGAAAGAAGTGACCAGGTCTGACATAAGTTGCTTTCTTTAACTTTGAAGTGTAGTTTTTAAGAAATTTGAAATTACTCCAAAATATGTTTTTTTTTCCCCTTCTTCCATGAAAGTAACCTAATTATGAATTTTGTATGCCCATGTTTGAGGCTAGTTTCTTCTTTCCCGCAGTACTGTTTTTCTGATGGACCTGTCAAACAGTGTAAAAGAATGTTTGACCCAACTCGGTTGATAGCTACCATAGTGATGCTGGTGAGTTAATTATATATTTTTAAAAAAATGTATTTAAAATTTGCAGAAACTGTTCAAATTTACACTTAAACAATTGCACTTTACATTGTTAGAAACTGCAGCTTGGACGATTTACAAAGACTTAAAATTTGGTTAATTGTACTGTGAAAATCTAGTTAACGTGAAATGCGTCTGTAAAAACGTGATAGGTTTTATGTTTGCTGTTGAATTGTGAAATCTTATACATTTTTCATTCTGCAGATTTGCCTTGCATGTACACTGTGTTCTGCCTTTTGGGTATGTTTCTTTTATCTTTTCAATACAATGAAAGTATTTCAATGAGTAGAGAAGAGTAGAGTAGTGCTTGCTGAGTAATCCGTTTTTCTGTCTTGTAGTGGAAGAAGGCTGCACTTGCTTTGATATTTTGCTTGTTGCAGTTCCTTGCAATGACCTGGTAAGTAAATGCTTATACAGATTTGTTTCAGGTCAGAGAGCCATTCAGCACATCAAGTGCAATGTATGTTTTGTTCTTTGTGCCATTTTTGACCGTAAATAGATAACCATACAGTTTTACGCTTTCCAGTGAGTCATGCTCTGTTGCTTCTGGGGATTACATGTACTATGAGTCTTAGAACGGGAACCTGCATTTGAACTTCTCTTCAATTGCAATTCTTAAAACTAGAAAATATTAAGTGAGATTGAGTGTTCCACGATAAACTTGGAACAACTGAACATTAGTTTGATTCCTTCTCAGTGTCTCACCACAATCACTACCGAGCTGCTGAGTAGTCTTGGCGATGTTGCTGTGATGATTCACCTAAGCATCGGCAGTCAACTCCCATAGGTGACCGGAAAAAAAAAATCCAGTAATCCATGAATGTACTTCCTAGGTGCAAAACCAGCAAAGAAATAGCAGAGGCCTGGGAGCAAATTGTGACTGCTTTATTTGCAATCTTCCCTTTAGTTTGAGGGATCATGGTGCTGCACCTTTTCCAACGTTGGCATCCATTATTTGTTCCCATTATTTGTGTTGAGCAGGTGAAATACGATATCGGAATATAGCTCATTAAGTTCTGTCTATTCTGCCCAACAGTGTGCCTCAAAGTCATTGCAAATACTTGCTATACTTTGTTTATCTTCCAGATGTTCTTAGTGAGGTGCAATTTGTGCAATTTATATGGAGTTTCATGCTCTGGCACCTGAATGAAACTGATGCTGCTTCAAACTAATTTCATTTCTGGCCCTTGTATCCGGCAGAGAGAAATTTTTTGTCCCTGAGCTGGTTTAAAGTCTTGACCGATTTCTATCAACCAGTCCCATCAATGAAAGAGGCATCCTTGTGATGTGAATCGACTTAAATATGAAAAATATTCACTATACTGTATTATAATCAGTGTTTTTTTCTCTATCAGGTACAGTATTTCATACATTCCATTTGCAAGGTAAGTTGGGCAATTTTTTCCCCTCTTCACTTCACTTCCAATCACTTGCACCTGTATTCCAAGATTGTTCTCTGTTTTCAGTATCAAGCTAGCAAAGCAAAGAACTGAAGCATACTGACAAAGCCCTCCCCTTTAAGATTAATTTACATATATTTAACTTAATTTAACTCCCTACTTGATTGTGACATTCTTTTGAATATATCTGGTTAACACTGACCTGAACATCGGTCTGTTTACGTTATCACAGGTGTGAATGTTGACATCTGATCTTGAAACTAAACCACCTAATTCGTACAAAATAGATTCTGTGTTATTATTTACATTTTTCAAAGATCTTGCCATTGAACATATTGAAAAAGTTGGTATTGTGAAGCATTGCAATAAGATTTTTTTTAAAAATAATTGGTGTAACTTGTGCAATGGTAACTGGATCAGACTGATTTTCGAAAGGTAACTTTGTATGAAACAGTTAACTGCTGATATTCAAAGTTCTATATAATCATAATCTCGTATCCAAAGATGGATGTTCTTTATGCACACAAACACACCGCCTTTGGGTGCCCAGCAGCTGTGTAAAAGCACTTTTAAACGTCCTCCTGACGTGAAAGGCACTATTTAAATTATATTGCAAAATTGCATTCTATAAAGACTTCACGTGCTGCATTGCTGTCATCCAGACAGGAAAGTTGCATGTTGGAATCTCTTTGCTGAGTTAGCTGGTCTCAGCCACAGGGGAACGATTAGCCTTAATGCTCTTGATAAGAGAAGGAAATATTAGCCAGATATCCTACTCATGGTAATCCAGAGATTCTCAGATAGAGGGTGTATGGGTGTTGCTTTAATTTGGGTAACATTGTAAATATTCATTCTTCTCAGTAATTCAAAATTATTTTGTACTAAAAGATATTAACATTTGAATGCATTTCCAATACAGAGATGCAGTGAAGAAGTGCTTTACAACATGCCTCGATTGAAGATGGAGTTTGAAATTGGTGAAGATAAGAGTTTGGAGTTGCAGAATGGGGTTTCTGGGCTACACCTTTTTGCACCAGCTTATACAAAATTACAAGTTTAGTAATTATTATAAAGTGTGCCTTTATAATGCGTTATCACCATTAATCTTGCATACATTCGGTGAAGCGTGATATTGTTATCAATAATACAAGTGCTGGAAATGGTCCTAAACCGTGAAGCCTTTCTAATTTTCTCTATCTAAGGTTAACATTGAGAATGGTGAACAAAATGTTAATCTGCAGGGACATGATCAATACAGATTAATAGCTTAATGACTGATCTGTTTAGTTTGTACTTTAAAAAAAGTCAAAGTCATTCCCCAGTGAAATTCGTCAGTCATTGCAAGTCTGTAAGAAATGACCGTATCCAGTGCTGAAATCTCAGAAGAGACTGAAAACATATTTGGTTTCAGCCTCTTGTAATGAGACATTATCTTAAATATTGACCAAAGGGATTATTGGGTTCACATACTGTAGACTTAATTCTACATGCCTTAACATTTTATTTTTCCACAAATAATTGCTATGGAAATTAATCGTGGGAAGTGTACCTGTTTACCTACATTAATAATGAAGAAATGAAAGTGCCTGAAGATGTCGCTATTTGGACCAGTGATGCAGTCTTTTTGTTATGTAGTTTAAGCACATTGTTGAAGGAGAAAGAATATACTTAAGAGATTCCATTTATTTTCTAATAAAATGTGCAATTTAACCACTGAATATTGGACACCAAGAAACAATTGGCTGTAAAAAATCAGAAATCATTCTCGTGCCTTATATTTTTGGGGGGGGGGGGGTGGGAGAGAAAAAGGTGCATCTTCAGATAAATTTGCAGTGCCTTACAATCAGATTTTTTTCCCCTGAGCCGAGCTACTATAAGAATGGTGAAATCTGTTGCACAAGTTCTTTAACATGCTTATTTTCTATACGGATTGTACAACCTGATGTTGCAATTTATGTGCTGCGCTGAGCAATGTTTTGCCAAGTGGCATAAAAGAAGCAGTGCAATTGTGTAATATGCTTTTCTAAACTTACCAAATATTTTGTTTCATTATAACAAGTTATAGTTATTTTGATGCATACAATGCTTAACCTTTTTAAAAGGGATTTTCACATACTCCTTCTCCACCTAACCCCAGTTAACAGCCAGTATAATTGTATATTGGCATTGAGACGTAAAAACAGTTTGTTTTGATGATGGCCTTGTGATCAATATAGATGGAATGCAGCCAAAAAAATCCCATTTTATAGTGGAGGAAAATGATGGATGTAAACTTGCATTTGCTGTTGATGCCAATTGCAAGTATTCTGAAGCACTTGGCATTTTAAAATTATGTAAATTTTACAAAACTGCAGCTCTGAAGATTGCTACACCTTTCAATCTGCGGGTAAAATGGAATTCTTATTGTATAAACCGCTTAGAAACTTGGACAAAGTGATTCCCACATCTGAAGAGGATGAGCTAGGTCAATGAGAAATGCACCTGGATTAACAAAACCTGCTGACCTCTATACTTGTTTTTTGTTCTAAAATTTTGGTTTTGGTTTGTTGCATCCATCTTGTATTTTGATTTGAAATGAATGCATTATAAGGGGTTTTAAAAAAAAAAACTAAGTAGAGAATTTGACATAAAAATGTATTGCTTACTGAAGTAAAAGCCGCAATTAAATTTGTGAAACAGGTAAATTGAATGTGACTTGTTTCAGAGTAAACAGTAATTTGGTTATTCATTGAAATACTAAAGAGCTGTAGGGAATTTCTTAGTTAGTGTAAGATGTCTTTAGGCAACGGGTTTTCAGTTCTTATCAATAGTTTATTACCTACTAATTTTATCAGGAATCAGAATCCTCATTGTGTATCTGACATGCAGCTTTCAGCTTTAATATCCTGTCAGTTTAGAAAGTATAATATTTCCAAGATTGTTCTACTAGATTCCTTTGGAGCCTATAGCAGAAATCATTATATGGTTGATATGATTTAAGTGCACCTATAACTGAATTGAAACATTACAGAACAAGTCCTTTAGATTGATTGTATATTGGATTTTGATGTGTACTTTTGTGAGTTGCCTTGATTTTATTTGAATTTCAATTTTGTAGTTCTCTTTACCAGTAATAACTTGGTAACCACTGCAACACTAGTAATATTTAATGTCTCAACTTTCACTTTAGCTTGGTTACTTTAAAAAGATGCCTTCACAATAAATTACATTAAATATCAGTGGGGAAGACCAAGTGATGCATATTTAAAGTTCTTCTGAAATACCTTCATGTTTAGCTTTGTGATTTTTAAGGTCAAATTAGAGATTGTGGGAGCTTCATTAAAGTGGTCAATTTTGGATGCTGCTGTAATTAACTTTCGTGTATTTTTCCTTGGGTGAGAGGAAAGTGTTTGTGTTTGCTTCAATCGGGCTCCAATATTCTCCTCCACAGCAAGAATTAATGGCTAATGATTCATTGTGTGAAACCGATATCGAAGCTTCAAAGTATATGTCTTAAAAGGCTACATCCTGCCTAGAGGCAGTCTTTTTGTTTAGTTGAAGAATTAGGAGTTCAATTTTTTTTTCTGGAGAATGTTCAAATTGCCTGAAATATGATTTTGATATGCAAAAATGCTGCTACTGTATTTTTTTTAAAAAAAGATGAAGGATGAAGATCCTAAAAATATTTGATTTGCTTTTTTTTGGTTCACATCACAATGTTTCTCTATTTTAAATCTTATTCCCCACCTTTTTTTTAAATTTCTACACTTTGGAATGAGTCTTGAGCATAATCATTTCAATAATGCAGTTTAATTATGATTACCTCAAAATAGTAATTGATGCAGAATTTGAACAATGTACTTTTTGATTTTGCAAAGTTTTTCAATGTCAGCTAAGATCAAGCAGGAGGAAGAGAAGGATGCTGCCTCAATTTTCAAAAAAAAATGCATTTCTCTTTTTGTATCAGCCAGTTTGTACACTGGTGCTTGTATCAGTGTAGCTCAGTTAACTATTTTCAAGTTGTAACTTTAAACATAACTGGTCTTTTTGTGCACTAATTCTACATTTTCTACATTTAATTTGTTGAATATGTTATTTTAATAGGAAGATATATTTAGGAGTAGCTGATAAAGGCTGTACTTTATAGATGAAGTGTCAATTCTTGTGCTGCACATATTGGAATATAATGTGTAGTTTTGCCTTATCGTACCATTGTGTGGCAGTGCAGTTCACCATGGTGTATCATGCATACAGAGCCAGTACTACGTGGTTTAATTTTAACTACTGTATGTGGTTTGTAATGATTATAAAACTTGTAAACCATGGTGCCTGATGTTAACTTCAAGTCTTGTGTGAGATTGAATTATGCTGCTTTGCAACTGACACATTTAAGTAGTGTTTCTGGCTTTGTTATGGTATTTGTTTAGAAAACACTTTCTTTGGAGTGAAATAAAACATCTTACAGTACATTTCCAATAGCTGATTTTTTTTTATTATTTCTTATGTCATTTCAAGAGAGCAAAGAAATCGTTCCATTATTGATTTCTCAAAGCAAACATTGTTTTCAGTAAAAAAAAAACACATCCTGAATGTCTTTCCTGGAACGGATTTGGATCTACGGTAAGGTTTTTCACCAGGTTTTTCACATCCTCTGATGGCTTTGCTCCCCCGCCATCATTATTATATTATTATTATCATTTGGGTAGAGCAAGGGTGACACCTGCTGGTTACAGTTGTAGATTATACTATAGGATCTATGGCACTGCATGTGAATTGGACCTCTCCAACAGCTAACCACTGTTTAGCAGATAACTGAGAAAGCATTTTGGAATCTAAATTCTGACCTTCCCCAATTACCACACCATTATTTGAGAGCCGAGTCGACTAACCAGGAAATTCACAGATGAGAATTATATGTTGCCGTAATCAGTGGACTGGCTATGCCCCACACAACAGCCCTTTAGCTCTTTGCTGTACTCAATTATCTGTTTAGGTAATAGGTGGGAGCGTAAGCTGTGAGGATGACACACGAAGAATGCAAAGGGAAATAGGTGAGTGGGCAAGAAGGTGGCAGATGGAGTATAATGTGGGGAAGTGTGAAGTTATTCACCTAGGTAGTAAAAATAGAAAAGCGGATTATTTTCTGGAGGGGGAGAGAGTAGGTAGTGTTCAGAAGGATTTGGGCGTCCTTGTACACCAGTGCCAAAAAGTTAGTATACAGATACAGCAAGCAACTAGGAAAGCTAATGGCATGTTGCTGTTTGTTGCAAAAGGGTTACAGTACAAGAGTAGGGAAGTCTTGTTCAGTTGTAGAAGGCCTCAGTGAGACCACGCCTAGAATATTGTGTGCAGTTTTGGTCTCTTTATTTAAGAAAGGACATATTCGCCTTAGAGAGAGTGCAGCGTGGATTCACTAGGTTGGTTCCTGGGATGAGGGGGTTGATCTACGAGGATAGGTTGAGTAAACTAGGCCTATATTCTCTAGAATTTAGAAGAATTAGAGGTGATCTTATAGAAACCTATAAGATTCTTAAGGGTCTTGACAGGGTAGATGCCGTGAGACTGTTTCCCCTGGTTGGAGAATCTAAAACTAGGGGTCATAGTCTCAAGATTAAGGGTCAGCCTTTTCGAGGAGTTGAGGAAACATTTCTTCACTCAGAGGGTAGTGAACTTGTAGAATTCTCTACCCCAGAAGGCTGTGGATGCTCAGTCCTTGAACATATTCAAGACTGAAGTTGATAGATTTCTAAAGGATGGAAGGATTAAGGGATATGGGGATAGGGCGGGTAAATGGAATTAGGTTAGAAGATCAGCCATGATCTTATTAAATGGCGGGGCAGGCTCGAGGGGCCGAATGGCCTACTCCTGCTCCTACGTCTTAACTGCTTTAAACACTTGATTGATGCAAACAAAGTTGCAACTTAAAAAAAACGAGTGGGTGCCAGGCAAATGTAAAAAGGTAATATCCCAGTTTTTAAAAAGTTAAAATGTGAACTATGAACCTAGGAAGTGTAGGTCCGTTTGATTTGACATCCTATAGAGCATGTGTGTGTGTGTGTATGTTTTGGGGGAGGGATGGGAATACATTGATTTAACAACTTTAAATTCAAATACAATAAAAAAAGTCAGTAAGTTGTAAGTGAAATTAAATTGTTGATTTTCAAAAGTAAACAAATTGGCTTATTTAATTCATATCAGTGGTTGGGTAGGAGAGAATCAAACCTTAAAAGTTATAGAGGATATAGAGATGCTTCGGCAAGTGTGTCACCTTTGTGCTTACAGAGGATGGCTGCAAGATTAACCAGGAGCTTGCATCTGTCTGTTGTGGACATTAAAGATCTTATATCACTATTTGAAAAAGAGAAGAGATTTCTCCTGGTGTCCTGGCCAACAATCTCCCTCCCCTCATCCCCTGCCCACCCAAAATAAAAAATTGGTTATTCAATTTATTGGCTATTTGGGGGACATTTCTGTGCACAAATTGGCTGCCACGTTTGCCCACAAAACACCCAGCCACAACTCTTTACATTAAATGCCATGAAGTGCTTTGAGATATCCTCCTGATTTGAAAGGCACTATACCACATGTAAAGATTATTATAAGAGGTTGTAATAGCATTTGACATAGCGCCTTATCACATAATTGAGCCGTCTCAAGGCGCTTCACAGGATATATTGTAAAGTGGACTGACAGTGTATTTTGTGGGTGAATCAAGGGAGCCAATTGCACACAGCAGTGTCGCACAAACAGTCGTGGATTGAGTAAGCTTTTTTGGGGGTGGGGGCCTTATTACTTGCCTACGGTTTTGCCCAGCCCAGGAATCGAACCCGGGTCCTCACACGTGTGAGCCACCTGCGTAACCACTAAACTACAGGAC